TAGAGTCGATAATCCTCCTGTCGTAGTGATTTTTTTTACCCGCTTTGGTAATAATAATAATGTGTGTGTGTGAGAGAGAGAGAGTGAGTGAGTGTGTGTGTGTGTGGATTGGATTTGGATAGGGTTCAGTGACAGAATTTGACTGAATCTGGATATGGTTCAGAGGTGGCATTTTGGGATCATGATAGTGAACATCTGGGTTCTATAAAAATATGAAATTTTTGACCAGGTGAATAACTATAAACTTCTCATGAAGACTTTTATCAGGGGGATAGATATTATGAATATTACTACATGACAATCTTTTGTTTTATTAACTCTGCATCAACTTTTGGGGAAATAAAATTATCCAAGTTTCAAATAGAACTCTGTCATGTAGATATAATATACCACTCAGTATGAACACAGAGGGAGAGGTGTTTCATAACTGGAGGCTGAAACAAGTTACAATAGATAAGAAGAACAAAGACTTCATAGAAAGTGATGTCACATATTTACACTTAACAACCTGTACAGCCTTTATCAAGAGTTTGCATTTAGTGACTTACTGGAGGAGGAGGAGGTACATCTGTGTTCTTTCTTGTCACTATGGTCACATCTCGCACATCACTCATACCATGTTGGTCTCGCAATGTACGCTCATTTTTTGTTACCAAGGTTCTCTGATGAGACACCTTTTCTTCTTTGTCATCCTTCTGTGGTCGTTTTCTTTGGAATAATTCACGCTCCTGTAACGGTACATAACTTAAATTCATGATTGCACAGATGACCTGACTAAGAAAATGAATATGTCTCTGGTAGAACAGAAATGCTCAACACTGCCAATACCATGACTTGTCATCTGAAGTGATCTTGAGCAATTTTCATCCACTTCCCTTTCTCAAAATCTGTCTCCTTAGATCCGTCTTAATGTTATGCTCCCCACGTTCTGACAGGTTTCCTCCCATATCTATATATAGATTTAATATCTTCCATATGAGCAACATGCCCACCCATCTTCATTTCACTGTCTTAACAGTATCAGGTGACATGTAAATCAAAGTTCCTCATTAAGAATGTAAGTTGCTAACTTCATTCTTATAACCAAATATTTTCCTGATAACTTTGTTTTCAGACACTTGGAATTGATGTTATTTTGTCAGAGTAAGAGACTATATTTCACAATCACACAAAATACTGGAAAAATCAGACTTACTGGGTTTTCAGACTTTTTCCATCGTCTGATATTCTAGAAACTAGAAAACTCAATGTTTTGAAACCGCATCAGTTTCCACCCTCAGGTGAGGGGGGGGGAGAAACCTAACTCTTTTGGGTACCTTAGAACGATGTAACCTCAATTACAGTGAGGGATCCAACAGAGTAGGTGTCTCCCCCCCGCCTAAGGATGGATCCAGATTCTGAAACGTTGTGTTTTCTAATTTCTAGAATACTGAACAATGGACAAAGTCTGGAAACCCAGTAACTCTTGACTGTTATACACTATTGTCAGAACTCTTTAGAATCTATTGGAAAAATCATTATCTTATTGTCTTGTGTATGTTGATCTTTACTATTATGAAATAAAGAAATGAAGACAACAATTGTAAAGTTAAGTAACAAACATTTCTAGGATTTATTCTTCCCTTCTATCATGAATGTCACTGACACTAAATATAAAACATTTGCTATAGGTCACACATCTATTTCAAGCAATAAAGTGACTGGTCACAGGCTTAACAACCAGGGATCTTTTCCCAGCAGAGGGAGACATTTGTTCTCTTTGGCATTATGTTAACCAGCTAGCCTCCTGTCCGACTGGTACCAGAAACAATTTTCTTGGGGGTATGCCAGCAACAGCTTAAAGTTTAACACTTAGGGCCAGTGCTAATGAGCCGCGCCATAGCTCAAGCAGTTAGTCACTGGCTTCCCACCACGGCAGCCCGGGTTCGATCCTGGGTCTGGTCAAGTGGGATTTGTGGTGGACAAAGTGGCGCTGGGGCAGGTTTTCTCTGGTTTCCCCTGCCAATCTTCATTCCACAAATTGGACTTAGTCCCAGCCCACTAGCATTAGAAAAAAATTAGGGCCAGTGCTAAGAATTTGCAGTGCCTTAACTCCATGCCCCTACATGCCTTTAGAGCATCCTGATTAGGCATCGAGGAAATTTTATGCTCAATGTACTCAACTTCACTATCTTTCTCATGTGCCATCTCCTTTCAGCAAGGAACTGTACCTTCATACTATGAAAAAGGATATGCACACCGTAAAAAGGAATGATGAGAAGAAACAAATGAACATCAGCTCACCTTGTATGTCTGTATTACAACCTGAGGAGGTTTTGTTCTCTTGGTAGTTGTGTTCATTGTTAAATTAGTTTATCCCACACATCACAAAGCTCCAGCTGCCAGCTCAAAGCCTACTGTTTTCATTCTGAACAACTTTGTCACGTACATAAAAATAATTATAACTTGTATTTATCACCAGAACCATGCTAATGTGAACCTCATGCCAAGCAGACAGTCTGTAATCTGTGTCACTGCTACACACATTCAAACAGCTTATGTCAACACACCAAACTATTGTGTTTAAGCATCAGTGGATAAGTACTGTTAAGTACTTCTGTATAATGTACTTGTACACGTAGGACTTATCTAGTTGCTGTCACTGAAAATCGCATTCCTTTAAACAAAATTCTTGATAAATTAATAATAACCTGTAACGTTCTTGTGAAAGACTTAAATGACTAATCCTTCCTGTATCACTATAGGGAATGTTGCTCAGATTGGACAGAATCTCTTATTCATATGATCCTTCACACTAAGATAAAAGCTTTCTCTGAGTACAGATAAGATGTTGTCAGGAAATGACGCTTATCTTAGAAGTTAAACCTTTACAGACACGTAAAATATGTGTATGTCTATGTGTGTGTGTGTGTATATACTTTGGGAATGTATCTTATCAAGCACAGTTACATAATCAGATGTACACTGTTTGCATACTACCAGAGACTGCAGGGAAGAGTATCTTGAAGTGCATTCTAACTAATTAGCTGCTTGACTAGGTAAATAACCAGCTAGTTAACTAACTGCTTAATATCTAGCTAGCTTAGCTATCTAGCTACTAAACTGACCAAACAACCAGCTAATGAACTTACTAACTAAAATAACCTTGCTAGTTAGCTAATGAACAGACAAACCATCTATACAGTATAACTAGCTGCTGGTCAACTAGCCGAGCAGGTTGGTATGGAGATAATGCTTTATCTAGACTTGACATTTGGAAGGTACCCAGTATGAACCTTGGTCATGTTACCACATATCCTCAGATTTTTTGTAGTCTTCCTCAGTCACTCCACCCAAGTGCTGGGAATGTACCTCAAAAGAGGATAAGAGTGTCCCCTTCAAAATCCATACCAATTCACTATTCATGATCATCTTACCATTTTCTTCATCTTCAGTCAAAACACTGTTGTTAATAACTGGAAATATCAATATAGAATAAACTTGCCAGAATTCTTGAGCAACTAGCATAAATTTCAAAGTAAAGTTACCATTTTTGTAAAGTTAGCTGCAATATGGCTGTGGGGTCGACTTAGCCTCTAACAGAAATGAATTCCAGGAACCTTCCTGGGAGTAAAGGGTAGCTAGCATATAAGGCTAACCACCTCACTGCAGTTGTGACCCGATTGTCTAAAAAATGTGGGAACCTCAACATCTCAACCCTGTGGGCCTCAAAGTCCTGTTACAATGATAGCTTTATCTTTTTTTTTTTCCTCCAAAAATGAGTTTGCAATGTTCTTGTGTTCACCCACCACATGACAGTTATTCCAGTCACCACTGGGAGCATTATCCATTATCTTCCCTCCTGCAAAGAGGCTAGTTTAATTTGAGGTGGCATTACAATATATGTATCCAAAATTTTTCACACATCAGTTCATTATGTCTCCTAGGAAGATTTTCATGCAAGAACTGAAGTGGGGACTTGCTATTTTGTAATAAGGGGTGTCAGTAATAGTTTTTATCATGTAGCCAGCAGATTTATGTGACTTGCAGACCCCATTTCCCATACATGCAGAATAATGTTGAGAGTACTGTGCTTACTGACTTGACTTTACTGTATTTGCAATGATTAACTAACTCCATGGTACAGGGTCTTTCATGGAAAGCTGACAGTTATTCAGTAGTCAGTAAATTCTCTGAAATATAAAACAGGAAGGCATGTCGTGGTGTTCACTCTAAGCCATTTCTATCCATTTCACATCCTGACAACCTATTTCTACAATTAAATATCATTATCAATCTATATTTTAATATCCTACCATCCACATTACAGTGAAGTAATAACATTTTACACTGTTGCCATGAAATATTAAGATACTATCCTGCCAGTTTCATACAGACACTGTTCATGAAGAGGAATGTACTCAGTATAATTTAAACTTTTGAATGGTGTTGGTGCAATCTATATTGAAGATCTATGCCTCTCAGTATTTCAACCTGTATTACAATTTTAATACTTGGAGGTAAACAATCATTAGTACAATTTAATCTTTTTGAATTGTTTCATTTTTGGTCCGTTACACTATCAATCACAGAGTTAGTAGAGAGTCTGTCGAGTGTAACAATTTGTAGGTCACTTTTTTAATATCACTTCTGCCTTACATGTTTCGGTTTGATACAACCATCATCAGAGGCACTTGCTATAACTATGGAAACACTGTCGTTGTTTATGATGTTCACAGTTATGTTTGTCGTGTAGACGCTGCTACAATATGCTGACATGTAAAAGCACAAAACTTACTAAGATAGTTGAGTACACTATCAAGTTCTCACTTTTCATCCGAAACTGTTTTAAGTTAAAACGCTAAATGTTAAAATATTTAATCTAAAATGCTGAATTCCTCCTTGTTAGTTCATCCCGAAGATGGGAGACGTCAGCTTGAAGTTGTACTGCAGTACACAACACACAGCACATAAGAAACATCGAACCATAAGCCATATAACTTCGAGCTGACGTCTCCCATCTTCGGGATGAACTAACAAGGAGGAATTCAGCATTTTAGATTAAATATTTTAACATTTAGCGTTTTAACTTAAAACAGTTTCGGATGAAAAGTGAGAACTTGATAGTGTACTCAACTATCTTAGTAAGTTTTGTGCTTTTACTCGTCAGCATATTGTAGCAGTGTCTACACGACAACATAACTGTGAACATCATAAACAACGACAGTGTTTCCATAGTTATAGCAAGTGCCTCTGATGATGGTTGTATCAAACCGAAACATGTAAGGCAGAAGTGATATTAAAAAAGTGACCTACAAATTGTTACACTCGACGGACTCTCTACTAACTCTACAATTTAATCTCTTTCCCAGTAATTATTATAATAAAAATCCTTGTAATGAGTTTTATCTAGTGGTATAAAGCCTCAGTGTCTCACATCAGAGAAATGCAGATATGTTCTACTTCTTGGATTTATGGATTAATCAAATTAATGTTTGTACTAAAATTTGCCAACAAGAGGTGGTCGCTCAGTAGGTATAAGTTCGCTTGTGGACTAAAATCATGGATTTTGTGTGTGTATGTGTGTCTGTGCTAGCCTTAAAATCCTCTTTCCAGAGGCTATGGGCTTGATGACTGAGGGGTTGTCCCATTAGGGTCAAGAATTTTCTCTTCTCCAAATCGCCCAGACCAGTTCTGGGGTCCACACAGCCTCCCATCCAATGGGTACCGGGGGCTCTTTCCCTGGGGAAGAGGGGCAGATGGGTTAATCTGACCATTCACCTCCAACTAGTGCCAAGGTCAAGAAAATATGGATCTACACATCCACTCCCCCATACACCATCATGGCATAGTGCTTATTTAGTTAAGCACAGGGACAACTTTACCTTTCATATATATGAACCCATGTCTTTCACTTGTAAAGTCTCTCATCTGATTTTAATTAATTTTAAAACACTGAAGTTAGATGCAATTCCACATTGTTAGAGATTCTATGAATGAAAGCTCCTTCTACTGAAAACTTACATGAGCGAGGGATATGAATATTTCCCTCCAAGACCTGAATTAAATCAGTGACACTAACAAAAGTGGAGATATGAAATTTCATTTAAACCCAATCTACTGTATGTCTACATAACAGGATGTACTCAGATGTACTTTGCACTGGGAGGTGCTAAAAGTACTATTCATGCCAAGTGACAATGACTTGATGGAATTCAGTTGTTAATTTCTTTATTGTGAAGCATGATTATGTCATTTGCCACTTCTGACATGTTACTTCAGAGAAATGCATATCTGCCATCCATATGGTGTCACAAGTGTTATCTGTGAAAAAATACAGTGTAGTTAATTGTGCGAAAGTGGATCAAATGTGATAAACTTTCAGCAGTGCTGTAGCTTAAGTCCCATAGATATCCTAACTATTTCTCTTTGAAGGCCACAATGGGACAAAGTTTGGAAATTCCTGTTTAAAAAATGATACTTTACAATAAATTTATATTTCCACATTTTGTATACATGTCCATTGTTACTTTCTATGTGAACATCAGCCAATTGGCCTGATGTTAACGAATGTTGAAGAGACCATGTGGGTCTGCCTGTCCACATTCCCTTTTTGAAATGATGGAGTGGATTTAGGTGAAGTTTGCTATCAGAAACCTACAAAAAAAGTTGTGGGATGAATAGTTGTAAATATGATTAATGACTGTGTGGGCTCCATGACAGACATAAAATTTCTTGATTAGCTTAGCTACTATTAGTTTCTCAAGGATTTTGTTCCATTTTAGATTAGTCCAATACTTTATAAGTAACAACTTCATCACTTGTCTCAAAAATAGCTCACTGTATTACAAATTGGTACACAAAATAAAATATATTTTATTAAGATCTGTAAACTGTATTTGAAATGCTTCTTGATGTTTTGAGTATTTTTTTTCCCCTTGGCACTACAGCCCCAGTGGGCCTAGGCCTACCTCCATGAACTCTCCGTTCACTTTGAGTATTTAACAGAATTTAATTTCAAGTTTTGTGTAGTATTATTAGTTTTTCAGGAATATGTTTGTGTCTACATTAAATGAAAATCAAAGCCCACCTTCTAACTGTTTTTCTTCCGCATAAGCATTCCACATAAATAACATTTATCTATTGTTTCCTGATATGCATCTAGCAACAGTTTCACTGTACTAAAAACTTTAAACTGTGAGAAACAGCATGAGCCACTCATTTTTAATAATAATATAAGTGAAGGAACAATAGTACAATTACGAATTTTACCAATTTCACGTTTTTTACAGGTTTTGTACAAAAAAACCTGCAAGGCAAGAAGTAAATTTCATGAATTGGTTAAAATATTATTGGGGACAAAGGTGGGGTGGGGGGGGGGAAGGATGTACAATGCTGATAAAATATGTTTGTTTTTCTTTGTAAAATATGAAAGTATGACTCACTTCCAAAGAGCCAGATATCCTGAGCTCTGCTGTTTCAGAGTGGCAACAGGTGCTGCCCTCATTCTCTGCAACAGTGCTATGGGCGAACATTTTGCGATGTACACGTTTGAACTCATCCATCAGCTGGAAATAAAAAATGCATAAGGTATTATCACAAATGCTGTTTGCCCATACACTGTGTATGCATATTTTCCTCCAAATTATTATTCCTCAAAGTCCTGGATTAGATGTCTCACATGTTCTAGATCCAAATTTTTACAGTTTATGCAGCCATAACTTTATAGTAAAATGGTAAGATAAAAACAGCGATGTCCTTTGACTTGAAGCATACAAATACTGTGTAAAGGGAAAGATATCCCTGTAACAGGCCGTGAAGGCCCATAGGGATGTGAGATGTCAAGGCTCCCACATTTTGTCTAGAAAATCTGCTCATAGATGGCAGTAAGGTTGTCAGCCTTACACGCCAGCCACCCTCTACCCGCTAGGAAGATTTCTGGTACTCATTTCTGTTAGAAGCTGAATCGACCCCAGGGCCATTGTGCAGCTGGAAGGATAAGGTCAACTGAAAAAAATTCACCTCATCATGACTCAAACCCATGACTTTCTGGCTTGTAGCATAGTGCCTCAACTAACTATGATACCGCATGCCCCCCCTCAAAAAAAAAAACACTGTGTAATTGTTTTAGATTGCATTTCTGTTAACACAGTAGGAACTGGCTGACTGCTTGGCTGACCATCTCATATCTTGCACCAAACCATTTTTTAACAATAAATAACCTGTTACATAAAACATTATAATTCATAAAATAATCCATATACCTGAATGATTTACAGGGTAAAGGAATGTCAAGGGAAACAGTTCTGTTTACAGTGACACAATCACCAGTGTCATGGGTGTTACTAAAACTGGCTTTTCTAGTCCAACACACGCATATCAGACAGTTGGCTCTTGTTGTTAATTACATTATTCTTACTATATTCATTCATGTAATTACCTTCATAATTACCTCATCTGATTAATAAGGAGGAAAGAAGAGTTTCTTACTACATAATTTCATCTTCTGTACACTGACACAATGACTTTTATTGTTTATACTGCAGTCTCCCTTCTGCTTCCACCCCCTACTCTCTCTCTCTCTCTTTCCTGTTGTCCCCACTTTGGAGCATATGGAATCTGTGAAATGCTTTGTTTCAATTCAGTTTCTTAATCCTAAGACCATCGATAGGACTCCTTCGACAGGGATCAGCCCTTAGCAAAGCCGCTACCTACACAAACAGAATAAATGGAGACAAACATCCATGCCTCGAGTAGGATTCGAACCCATGATCCCATAATTTGAGTGAGTAAAGACAGTTAATGTTTTAGACCATGCAGCCATTGTGATTGGCACTCCCCTACTAGTTGACTGAAAGATATATCTGATTCTGTGTAAAAACAGCATTTGCCTAACTACGTACTGACAATTTTATGGCTATTGGAGTTACTGATATCACTGACCAAATTTTGGATTAAATTAAGTCTCCCTTCTGCTCCCAGACTTCATTCATGCCTTTGTAGTGGTGCACGTTACCAAAGCAAGTCAACTTGTCACAAAATTACATGCATAACCTCTTGATACCTTCTGTAATTCATATAATTCATGACATTAGAAACCCATTTAAATGCCCAAAAACACCAGGAAAAGACCACATCGGACTCCTGAAATAGCTCTAGAAATTCACTACGCTCATTGTTATTAGTGTGCAGTTGGATCAATTTTCTAAATTTCTTCTCATGTTTAATTTCATTGTAACATTCTCATGTTGCAGCAGATTTCAATGTGGATTCTTGTCAATCTCTGTTTCTCTCTTAATGACCACAAGGAGGAAGAGAATAATGATTTGTTCATGTTTAAATGTTGAGTATTCAGAACCTATAATTACCACCTTCAGAACACACACCTTCACTATGAAGCAACATTGCACATAATGCATCACACAGCTGTGTCAGGCTTACTTCAAGAAACATGTGTAAAATGAACAGTGAGAGTTAACAGGTAGCATTGTTTCACATGACGCAGATTACATGTATATAAAAGAGTCATTTGCTGTAGGTGAAAGTGTGATACTGACATGGGTAAATACTGTAATGTTTATCTTGTTTTGGAACAGTTGTTGTCTCACTGTCATTAGCTGCTTAAGATCTTGATGTCAGCTTGTTTTGTCCACTGCTATTTCATCATATGCTATGGCACTGTCCTCTTGCACCTTGTGCTGCACTTACTTGCAAGTCACCGCATGTACTGTGTCACATCTGCTTCTCTTTCATTGGCTAAACAGGTCTGCTCAACTCAGCAACTCCACTCAGACTGTCCACAATGGGTTTTCACATTATGTATTATAGTCACAGTCATTCTTTAAATCTCTTGCTGGTTCCCAGCAAAGCTTGGTCTTTGGCAGTTTCCTGAACCATCTGGTGGGGGTAGGGAGGAGGCCCAATGTTTCTTGATGAATGGCATGTGCTGGCACCCTTGCCTCCCTCACTTGCAACTTCAAGCAATACTAATTTCTGATGTGTGCATGTATGTGCTTACACACACATGCATACACAAACACAAAATACAAATACAAAAATATTCTGTACTTTAAAATTTCATTATTGCTAGACTTCCTTATATCATCACTTTCCTACAGAAAGAGGAAAACTGTATAATTACTCTGCCACAGCTTTAGTCTAAAACAATGCTCAATATGTGGGGCAGTTACATGAGCAAACTTGACATTACTATCACTATTAATTATAAATTCGGGGGCACACAGTAGCATAGTTGGTTGAGGGGCTATGTTACAAGCCAGAAGTCTTGATGAGGTCATTGGATTTTTTTCAATTGACCTAATCCTTCCAGCCGCACTATAGCCCTGGGGTCGACTCAGCCTCTAACAGAAATGAGTACCAGGAATTAATTAAATAATTTTCCTGGGGAGTAAAGTGCAGCCGGTGCGTAAGGCTGACAACCTTACCGCCATCTGTGAGCCAATTGTCTAGATAATGTGGGACCCTCAACATCTCACAATCCTATGGGCCTTCATAGCCTGTTGCAGGGATAGCTTTACTTTTTTATTAATTATAAATTCAATATATCTATCAGCATAGTTATCAAGATAAAGATCAAAATCACCCTCTCCATGCAACTAATCATCATTAGGTTCATCAGACAAAACTGCAACATATTACAGTACCACTGTCTCATGAAAGTTCAGCTTGTGTCTGTTTAATTTTTGTATTTCTGTTCTTTGACATCAGCTAGACAGGAAATCGTGGACTGCTAAGAGCTAATGGGCAATACATGAAACAGAACTAATGATCATGTTAAAAATCTTCATGCATGTCAGGGGAAATTAGTGTTATGACAACAAATTGTACAAGATGTAACAATGCGGCCACAGTCCTGAATATGTTAAGCTGATCAATAAAATTTAACATTGAAAAATAAACAAGCTCTACCTGTTCATGCTGTTGTCGTTTTTCTCCATCAATTGATTTGAGGATATCTTTTTTTCTTTCTGGTTCTCTGTAACCTTCATTTTCACGACGCTATAAAAATAAATGAACAAATATATATAGTATAATACAATCAAAATCAGATATCTTTCTTTCGATTTAATGTGTGTGTTCTGGTGTTCTGTTTACTTAAATTCAATGAATTAAGTTCTTCTCCTTGGTTTTCATCAGTCCCTCCTGAGCCCTTCTAGCAAAGATAGATCTATAGCTATATTGTCACTAACCATCCTTCAACTATTGATATCAGATCTATAGCTATATTGTCACTAACCATCCTTCAACTATTGATATCAGATCTATAGCTATATTGTCACTAACCATCCTTCAACTATTGATATCAGATCTATAGCTATATTGTCACTAACCATCCTTCAACTATTGATATCAGATCTATAGCTATATTGTCACTAACCATCCTTCAACTATTGATATCAGATCTATAGCTATATTGTCACTAACCATCCTTCAACTATTGATATCAGATCTATAGCTATATTGTCACTAACCATCCTTCAACTATTTATATCAGATCTATAGCTATATTGTCACTAACCATCCTTCAACTACTGATATCAAAGCTCATGGGCTTGTTCTCCCCCCAGTGTCCATTCATTCATCCATTTCATTCACACTGTACAGGACATGTAGTGTGAAGAGTCCAAAAGAGTTTTAGTTGAGTTCCAAGGTTCCACGGTGACTGATAAAGAAATGACAAGCAGACTTCATAGTGATTTGAAGTGTTTCTATGTTGAGATTCGATGCTATGAGCCAACTAGTGGAAACTGAGAATCCTAGTGTATGTGCAATGGTGAACTGTAAACGGTCTAAATTAAGAGAGACTGTAACCGAAGTGCCAATAAATTCAATCATCCAAACTAGAATCCATTAATTTTTACTATGTGTACCCTCCTACACATGACAATATATATATATATATATATATTAAATTATGACACTAGACACATCATTGATACAATTACATGATCAGACTTCTTGAGAAACACAACATCTACTTCAAAGTTATATTTTCATTAACAAACTCTGTGTTATTAAATGTGACAGATGTAAGATTTGAGGCTTTCACGGCGGTGACTATGAAGAAAGCAGTCTTCTGGGATTTGGCACCGTGTATATGTGGTGTTAACCGACGTTTCGGAGGAACGTATCGCCCCCATCTTCAGGGTTGAAGAAAAAGTATAAGTAAATCTGCAAGCGACAACACCGTTTACCGTGTCCTACGGTGTTGTCGCTTGCAGATTTACTTATACTTTTTCTTCAACCCTGAAGATGGGGGCGATACGTTCCTCCGAAACGTCGGTTAACACCACATATACACGGTGCCAAATCCCAGAAGACTGCTTTCTTCAAATGTGACAGAGTTTTGAGAAAATTGATCTGGGGAGGGTATTAGGACAGGTTGTGGATTTTGTTTTGTTTGGTGGCATTTAGGCTTCCTTTGGCACTGATGGTAAGAGGGCAGCAGTCAGTTCCTCCAGTATATTGGTACATGTCGACCTAAATAACATTGTGTTGTATCCCTGAAGATAATCAGACTTTAGCTTATGAATTTCTGAGTGTCAACTGGTCAACTAACCTTCCATTGTGTCGATGACTTTGCAGTACAACCAGAAAAAAGTTTCTCAGTCGTTATTAGACATTATGATCTGTGTGTGTCTTAGTCAGCAATTCAGGCGTTCTTTATCTCCCTGTGAGCCCTTCCCACTTCCTGGCCAAACCTTTTGATTCATTTTTAAAAAATTCTTAAATATTCCAAGTTTTGGAACAGTAGTTATGTTTACTTTTATCATTTTGAAACTAATTCCTGAAAATACTATCAAATAAAAATATAAGTCAAAACCTTTGTGAACATCATGATATCCTCAAGAAGAAATATGCTTTTCACCACCCCAGTCTTGCTTGCTTGCTTGCTTGCTTCAGGTGTTTGTGTGCTTTGCAAACACCAAGCAACTGAAGTGTGTTAACATTCCTTGTTTGGCTAACATGGTACTAGCTTGGAATATCATGCATTCCCTCCTCCTCTTTTCACTCATATCTCTTTTCATTTCACTTGCCCTCATAAATGGCTACTGTAAGCAAGGAACAGCTGGTTAAGAGGGCCTGTGATAAGCTAGCTCAAGGTGGCAGATGATGCATTATATGATCACTTCTCTTGCCAGTATGTGAAGTATCCCTGAACCACAAGGCCGCGCCATAGCTCAAGCGGTTAGTTGCTGGCTTCCCACCACGGCGGCCCAGGTTCGATCCCGGGTCTGGTCAATTTNTAATAATAATAATAATAATAATAACAACAACAATAATAATAATAAATCCCTGGAACCACAAAAGTAGGACTTTTTATTATCCTATTTTTCTGATTTTTTAAAAAATAAAAGCAGGCTTATGAGATCACCATGCTGTCTGTGTATCCCCTCATAAACTTCTGAATGCCTGAACCAATCCTTCTGAAACTTGGTCTATTCATCATGGCACATGAGGCTATCTCAACAACATATACTTCATAAATCCTCTCATCAGTCTATAGGTTAAAATTCCTATCATTGCAAGGCAATGACTCGGTAAAAACTTTACCACAGCAACAAATACACACACAACAATAGAAGAATTGTTGGACATGTTTTCTACGTGATCCATGTCGTATCAAGGAGAGTAGGCTACTAGGTCTTCCCAGAACTTCGTTTTATTTTACAATGTGTTACCTTGGAAAACACAGTTAAAATGAATGCTCCATCACTGAGAACACTATAGTAAAAATGAAATGTAAAATATTAATTTTTATCAGTGACATTTTTTAAAGTGACAGTCTTGTAATACAACATACGTGGTACAGGCATTAAGTTCGTGGAATGTGGTTTTATCACATCATATTACAAGGTATTCACATACACTTACACAGATCCACATTGGCCCTCAAAATAGTTGCATTGTGCAAGTCTGCCAACGTTGATAAAGCTGCTGAAAACATTGCTGAAACATATTGGCAGGAAATTCCCGTACGGCGTCTCTTGTGGCCATGACCACCTCCTCGGACTACTGATATCTATGACCACATAGCTTTGCTTTCAAGTGGTGAAAGAGAAAGAAATCGCATGGTACGAGATCAGGTGAGTACGGAGGCTGTGGCAAAACTGTGACCTGTTGCCTTGCCAGTTCCTCCTGGACAAGAACAGAGCGATGTGCAGGGGCATTGTCGTGTAGTAACAGCCAATTCTTCCTATGCCAAATGTTTCACTAGGGGATTTGCCTAGTTTTTGGCAGAACTTGATGTTTGCCCGTTGTTCAAACTGCCACATCTTCGATTTCTGCCACTTGCATTTAACTGCAGTTCACAACAGAGGTCGTAATTATACTTACACTGTCTGCACACAACTGCCTCTTGCTGTCATGAGAGATGAACTGACAGGGCATCATATAGTGCCTCAACCTATCCACTGTAGTGCACTGCAACAACACTTTGTGGCCATTCAACGAACTTACTGACTGTGGTAGTATCCTGTTCTTAAATCTGGATGTAACAAAATCCGAGGTGGTGTTACTAAAGAATTTACTCTCTTTCACCTGTGATCTCCTCTGCAGCTCCTGGCTGATGGCACTGGAGAGACTACCAGCACTGCTACTGCCCACACTGCCAAATGAGTTGCTAGACGGACTCTTTACTAAAGAGTTGTGCTCTTTTGATTCCTGTGCAAATAATAACAAAGATAAAACACTGTAATATCACATTATTTACAGCTGCAAGGAAACTCAATTCCTTCATAACTGTACACGTATTTAGCCATTCTCCGACTCTATTATTGCCCAACGGAAGTATTTCACAATAACAGTTGGTCAGAGAGGCTTGCATCAAACACATCAGTATCTTTCAGTAAATCAACGACAATTTTCAGATATACCAAAGGATATAAAAATAACATTATTATAATTAATATGAATACAATATTCTAAACTGATTTTATTACACTAAATCTGAAGTGGGCCCAATTGAACTTTTTCACACTCAGTTGTGGCATGGTGAACCATAAGCTTATTAATTCTATTTGGAATAAGGAAGACTTCCCTGAGCAGAGGAAGGAGTCTTATTATTGTAAAAGTTAACAAATTAAAACTGACTGCAGTAATTATTGTGGGATATCACTGCTAACAACTTCATACAAAATTTTATCCAATATCCTTCTCTCAAGGTTAAGTCCATATGTAGATGAAATTATTGAAGGTCATCAACGTGGGTTTCAACACAACAGATCAACTACTGATCAGTTCTTTTATATTTATCAGATAGAGGAGAAAAATGGGAGTACAATTAGACAGTGCCTCAGCTATTCGTAGACTTCAAGAAAGCCTATGATTTAGTTAGGAGGGAAGAAGTGTACAATATTCTCATAGAGTTTGGGATACCCATGAAACAAGTTAAGCTTATTAAAATGTGTTTAAACAAAACATAAAGTCCATATAGGTAAAAATTTGATTTCCTATTCAGAATGGTCTCAAAAAAGGAGTTGCTTTATTGCCACTCATTTTCAACTTTGCTTTAGAATATGTAATTAGGAAGGTCCAGGAAAACCAGATGGGACTGAAATTAAATGGGACACATCAGCTGCTGGTATATGCTGCTGATGTGAATCTACTGGGTGATAACATAGATACCATAAAGAAAACACAGAAACTTTAATTGACACTAGTAAGGAGGATACTTATGTCTGGGGAAAACTAAGAGAAGACTGAATTCAAGTAATGTTTGCTATCATTCAGTCCAGAAGCTTCTGCCTTATCTTCAGCCTGGAGACTTAAAAATCAGAATACACAGAACTATAATTTTGCATTTGGTTCTCTATGGGTGTGAAACTTGGTCTCTGACATTAAGGGAGAAACATAAACTGAGGGTGTTTGGAAACAGGGTGCTGAGGAGAATATTTGGAACGAAGAGGGATGAGGTGACAGGAAGTTGGAGAAAATGCATAATAAGGAGCTTCATAAATTGTACTCTTCTCCAAGTATAATTAGAATGATCAAGTCAAGGAGGATGAGGTGGGCAGGGCATGTAGCACGAATTTGGGAGGCGAGGAATGTATATAGGATATTGGTGGGAAAACCAGAAGGAAATAGATGACAGGGAAGACCAAGGTGTAGGTGGATGGATAATATTAAAATGGATCTTAGAGGGATAGGTTGGTGTGGTATGGACTGGATCGATCTGGCTCAGGATAGGGACCAGTGGAGGGCTCTTGTGAACATGGTAATGAAGCTTCGGGTTCCATAAAATTCTGGGAAGTTCCTGAGTAACTGCAAAACTGGTGGCTTCTCAAAACGGGCTCAATTTCACGAAGTTAATTAGCTGTGGCACAGTACATATATGCTAGGGACTTACATTTCTTTAAAAATCTAACTTTTGTATTCCTTTTAGCAGTCATAGTACTTTTACTGTTCTACGTATGACAGACTAAAAATTGATAAAAGACCATATTGTTAATAACATTGAAAAAGTACTATAGGCTAGACTTACTTAATTTGTGGGCAATTCCTAGGAGGTAGGCAACATTTTCCCCCCTAATGTACTACAAAACAACACCTTATTCTTCAACTCAACAAGTTAGTTCCAATCAAATATGGGACAACTGTGTGTTCTGAACAAGCAAGGTGAAAACACTACATTAAGATGTATGAAATAGAGTAACAAAACACAGGACACAGATGTGAGAAGGGCACATATGGAAGAACAGATAAACATGAACAAAGTTTTGTCATTGGATGACCCATCCTCATTTTGATTTGTGTCCTGAGAGCCAGGACAGTGGTATAAAATTTAGTTCCATACAGACACCAGGTAACCCTGTTTCTACTGCATTTCTCATGCACTTACACATCGTTCACATACCACACCTGATAGGACCAATAATGTCACTTCCTCACTCATTATCACACTGTAACAGATAAAGGCGGGGAGAATGTAGAACCATGATTAATTCTGCATAACACCTGTGATTTATCTTATCTCTCACCTCATCAGCTGTTAATCTTTCCAAGGTGGGAGTACTTTTAGATGTGGCCACAGAATCATCTACTTCCTCACTCCGGTGGACTTCCACCACCACTGTCTTTGTCTCTGATTGCTGAGACACCATGCGGATTTCAGCAAGTTTAGTACCATCTGCACATTTCTGTTTTGAACACTGTCCATCTGTACCATTAACACTATTGCACCCACTGCTTAGTAGACTCAGTTCCTGTAAGAAGGCCGAGTACAATGCATTGCCAGAATTCTATCAGTTCTATTGGTAATTGCTCCCAATCAGTTCAAAATCTGTTACCTTCCTATCTAAACAATGAAAGATTAAAATAAATGAAGTATAATTTTGCCTCACTCTCAGGGAGAAACAAAGTTTGATATGAATAATATTATAGTGAACATCAAGTCACTGTATACAATTTGTCTGCTGCTCCCCAGCTAATGCTTGACCGTAATTGGCTGCCATCTGAGACCCAGCCAGTATTTACGATTTCTGTAGTAGTACCTAGCTACTGTTTGAGAGCCATTCACTATTTATAGTTGCATAAAATCTGAGCCCAAATTTGTATTTTAGCCCTGGAAATTACTGGAACATTTAAGGCATGTAAAAGCCACTCACACTCATGTCTCTGTTGGTTTCATCCATGCTGTGATTACTTCCATTTTCCTCAAAGTGAACTCGTAAAACAGGTGAGTTTTTCCTCCTTTGTTTTGGCTCTGCCTTCTCCCAGTCATGCTCAATCTGGTCCCAATCTTTGATGCAATGATTGGATTCTAACTGCCCCAATCTGAGGAGATATAACACAAGCACAAAATAAATTTGGATATAACTATATACATGTTACATAAGAAGTGAAAGGGCTACAAAGCATATCAACTGCAGTCTTAACATATTACTGTTCCCCTTCTAAGATATTTTCATTTCACTGGTTCATCTTCTCACCCTATCAGTGCTGTGAATGAGAAACCCACTCATTTATGCCAATTAAGTTTTTCTTTACACGTGTTTCTGATTTTGACGAAAATTAATTCTGCAACCACTCCTGTCAGTAGAAGTTAATTATTTGTGACTTCTAGACAATTAAAATTATACAATAGAAGCATGTAAATGAAAGAATACATTTGTTTCCTTAATTCAACTCAGTAAGGATTAAAAAGCATGCTGTATCAGCTATAGAACTTATTAGCACCTGATGAAATGAGAAGATGGACCACGTATGATATACTGAAAATAAATGCTGTTAACTGAAGGGACTGGGGATAGCTTAAAAACTTCAGTCAGAATGCTAAGTGTCCCACCTGATAATGGAAATGGGAAACTCCTGAATCTAATTACTTGTTGAGTAAACTCAATCCCTCTCATACTATTTCCCCACCTATCCTCCAGCTCCACACACTCCTCTTTGACAATGGACAGCCTCTTGGTATCACTCCAACTTGGACTCTGATCCCCATTCACACTGCTAGCTGAGCTGTTGTACCCAGAGGACTCTCCTGGAAATAAGTCCAAACCGGACCCCTTCCTAATTATTAGGTCCAGCTGCTGAGATGTCTTGAGTACATTCACAGCCTGAAAATGTATACAAAATGAAGAAAGCTTAAATACTATAAACTGCACCACAGAAATATGAAGTGATCTTTCTGTTTCATTACATTACACTGCGAATTTGTGCCTGGTAAAATGAAATTCTGATGTTTCATTCTGTTTAGACGTAATGCTAAAACAGATATTATAAGAAAATATTCTGGATTAAAGCAAGTGTCACATAACTTTGAACAAGGCCAAGAGTAACCTTGAATGCGCAGAAGAAAAATTTCAGACAAGGTGGTGGGTTTGAGGGTGTGAGAAGTGACAGGCGGCCTTGTTCGAAGTTATGTGATACTTGCTTTACTGTGTATGACAGAGATACACTTTTACTTTAATTTCATAGCAAAATGGGACTGGAGGGCTCCACAAAGAAAATTCTACAACCAAGTAACTCACAGAGGTATTGGGTTTTCGGACTTTATCCATCGTCCTGGTTTTTAAGATAACTAAGAAAAAACACGATGTTTCAGAAACTGTGACCCAACAGAATAGGTGTTTTGCCTCACCTGAGGACAGAAACTGATCCAGTTTCTGAAACATCGTGTTTTTTTCTTAGTTATCTTAAAAACCAGGACGATGGATAAAGTCCGAAAACCCAATATCTCTGTGTGTTATACACCATCGTCAGAATCCTATAGTAACAACTAAGTAACTGTGAAGCAGTTATTGATAATCATGATGTCTGAATAGATGGGCACAGTTTACAGATATATGAAAAGGCATAAAAAAATAACATTATTAACATCTAATTTGGACATGATATGGGAAACTCCCACAGTGTTAAATTATGTATTAAACTGAATATAGAGTATGCCCTATTTGACTTTTTTACACTCAGCTCCTTATATACCAAGTGAAAATATTAAATACATGAACTAATGACCCCCAAAGTTGCATTTTTGTCTACGTGATAAATTTTTATTTGTTTTATTTCTTCTGCGACAAATTTCCATAATATTTATAATATCTTAAAATTGTTTTGGGATAGACTGAATGTTTGCTGTCTCCTGCTCTACAAGAACAATCAGCATTCTGTGATCAAATGACATAACATCCTACTCACATCACCAAATGGAATGTCAATGAAAGGTACACCGTTGCACTGCAAGATCTGATCTCCTGGCTGCAATCCTGCTTCTCGTGCCAAACCATTCTCTTTTGTGAACTGGACAAAGATCCCAGGTTTCCATTCTGGACCTTTGCAGATTCTATAACCAAAAACAGAAATAACATAATACATATTACATATTGTTATATATTGTTATATATTGTTACATATGATTGTTAACATATTACATATTTCTTTATACTGTCTGTCACACAAAGAAATCAAGCACCTCTCAACAGTATATGATTCAAAGACATGATAAAATGTATATGTGGGTCCACATTTATATGTGATAAGAGTGGATTTGTTCCTGTGCTACAAGGACCTGATACATGACATACATGTATATTATGTAGCAGACTACAGTGCATGTGGGGATGTTTCCAGAGACATCTTTCAGTGCTGGATGGTTGTAAAGTAGGTATCAGCATCCTGTTATGAATGGTATGCCATGATACTCAGAAGCTGACATTGCATCATGCATCAACATATACGTGCTCCACTGAAACAAATGCAAGTCTCATGAAATTCATCATGATGCATGGTACTGTCACTAGTATAAACTTATATGGGACTCTTAGAAATCAAATACAAGAATGCGACATAATCTGATTACTGATCTCAGTGTTATTCATCTGTGCACGTGTGTGTGTGCGCGCATGCATGTGCATATTTCCCCTTACATCTCTCCCTTTTTGTTTTGAATAAATGTAATTCTATTGCCTCAAGGTGTTTTCCAGATTGAATGAGTTAATTACTTATTAATTAGTAATTCTGCTAAATTTAAACCACTTAATTCAATTAGCAGGTTTCCACTTTGCAAGAAATGGTAAGATGGAATCTTAAAGATGAAATATGTTGATAAATATAACACACAATATTTATGGCTCTTGTGGGAAAACAACTCTTAGCTACCAGGAACCCAAGTACACAGTAATATCAGGGTCAGTGGGTACCAAAGAAGAAATTCTGACATTATAATTAACATTTTCTGTGAAACAGAATAAGACCTGATAATTAAGATAAGGCGAGTAGGTGTGATATCTAGCTTTATCTCAATGACAGTCAGTTTGACAGGAAACCTGAAGCAGACATAGAAGCATTTTCAAGTATACCAGTTGTCACGTGTTGGGTATGTCATGCAAACAAATAACTTCATGTGGGTCTCGGATTTAGCGAATCTTTATTGGACACTCACTCTTACACACCTTACAATTATTATCACTTGTAGTATCACCTGACTTCTGGCCCAGTACTCCAATGCAACGTCTCAACTATCCTTGGTGATGGCCAATTTCTTCTGGGGTTCACAATTTTTCTGTGGTGAATTTTTCGGTTTCTGGCGGCGGCGCTCCGCGGCCAGTTTTCGGTCACTACGCCTCCTCTTCTTCGGTTCTCCGACCGGCATTACTTCGGTGTCTTCTATGAGGACCTCTTGTTGCTCTGCCGCCTCAGGTTTCCTGTCCAGTGAGGCCAGCTTCTTCTCATCTTGACATGCCTCCATTTCTTAGCAGGCCAATGACTCATGTGGTTGGCATTCATCCTTTTGTCTCTCATGGCGGCCATCTCTTCTTGCCATGCTTTCATATTGGCCTGTTTGTCAGCTTCCAGTCTGGCCAGCAATTTCTTGTGGCTGATCTCCGTCCTTTCTTGCCAGACCTGCAAAGCGGCGACTGTGTTAGCTTGGTTGCTTCTCGTTTCTTCTTGTCTGTCATCCATTTTTTTTTGCATGGACTTCAAGAGCTCTAACATTTGTTCCATTTTTCCTTGTGGTGTTTTCATGTTTTAAGTTCAAAACTTTTCGGTCACGTGTGTAAGTCCAATCTTTTAAATTTGATCCGATTAATCCGAACTGATTCCACTTCTGACACCAGTTGTCAAGTAGTTGGTTGAGGCACTATGCTGCAAACTGGAAGGTGATGGGTTCGATTTCCGATGAGGTCATTGGATTTTTCTTTTTTTTTAATTTTCCTAACCCTTCTGGCCGCACTATGGCCCTGGGGTCAACTCAGCCTCTAACAGAAATGAGTACCAGGAATCTTCCTGGGGGGTAAAAGGTGGCCAGCATGCAAGGCTGACAAACTTACCGCCAACTGTGAGCCCACTGTCTAGAAAATGTGAGAACCATGACATCTCACAAACCTATAGGCCTTCATGGACTGTTACAGGGATAACTTGACCTTTTTTTATATAATATATGATATAGACAACGAACCCAGTGAGGGCAGACCTAAACCTTTGCAATGACAGACTTCTGATTACTGCAACATCAGAGATTCCCTTGGTTTAGTTAAAGAGATTTAGTCAATTTGTAAAATCAGAACACATTTCTTATGCATCTGTGATTGAAAAAGAATTATTCCCTCAATTCAACTGCCAGATACAGTTGAGGTAACGTATCATAACTACTCTAGTTCAAGCAGAGCTCCTCTAATATTACTATATTTAAACAGTGAACACAATTTATTTTATCAGGAAAATGACACCATTGAAACTTCCTAGCATGAAGCATAAAGAACAATATTCGGTCAGAAATGTTCAGCAATTACACTGACCACAATGCAGGCATGTCAAACGTTTGCTGTTGTTGCACACAATCAATTACATACAACTACAGAAACCATAATCATAGCACTAATCTCACAATAACTCAGGATGGTAAAGAAAAGCTTCATGGTCTATCCAACGTATATCACCATTAAGCATGCATGGAAGAAATGAAAAATACATACAGAATGCTGTTCAGAAATTCTAAGCAGAAGAGCTACTTGGAAAATCTAGTCACAGCTAGAAGTATAATATTAAATGATTATTAGTCAGATAGGGTGTGAAGGTGTGGACTGGATTCAACTTGTTTGGGATTATGGTTCACTTGTGACAATGGCAGTGAACCTGTAGATTCCATAAACAGTGGGGCATTTCTTAATCAACTGAGCAAATATCAATCGCTCATGGAGTTAGTCAGAATATACAATTTGTCTAAGAGGTAGAAAATAACAAAATTATGGTGAAAATTAGATAATTAAGAGCTTCAAAATTTGCATGTTCTGTCTAATATTGTAAGGATGATGAAATCAAGGAAAATGAGCAGGTTATGGCAGAAGAAAATAATAAATGTATTCAGAATTTTAGTTACAAAACTTTGGTTGAAGAGCCCACTTGGATAGCCAAGGTATAAGTGAAAAGATAATGCTGAAACAGAATGTGAAAGCATTAACTGAATTCAGCTAGTTCTGGACAGGGTCCAGTAACTGGATTGTTGTTTATGGTGATGAAACTTAAGTTTCAATAACAGTGAATGTCCAATTACCTGATAATTATCAACTGTTCAAGGAAGACCTTGTATTATGCAGTTACTTAATTAGCTTGTTAGTTAATCAGTCAATTAGGGGTTAAAAATTGTGCATTCAGCTAGCACACTAAACCAAAGAAGTACAAAAAATACTCTTGGCCTATTCTTAAGAGTTCCCTTCAGATTCTTAACTCAGAACTGTGTAGAATAATCTCATTTCCTCTTCTCTCCCAACTACGCATTCAATCAAACAATGCGGTTGAGTAGGTAACACTTCTGCTTCATATTCAGGAGGTCCTGGGTTCAAATTTTGGCTCAGAGGCCAGCTATCCTGACTAAGTCTTGTCATGGTTTTCCTCAGTTCTTTTGGGACAGATTATGAAATAAGAGTTCAAATTAAGTCATGACTGCCTCCTTCCATAACACTGCCAACTAATTATTTGCTAAACCCCATCATTTGAAGCTATACTGACTGGGTTACTGGAAGTGTTGAACAAAATAGAAATAAATAAGTAAATAAACTATGTAAGTCATACCGAAAGTCATGAGCAACTTTCTTTTGCATGCAACCTGAGAACAGCAGCCAAAGGGAGTATGGTGGTAGGTGGAACCAGCTGTTGTGTTAATCTTTAGTTATTTGTGACGTCAATAGCTTCCATCACGTGACCAGTACCACTCCTAACAAAATGGCCGACAACCATATGTCGTTTCATCAGCGTGCAGTAATCGAATTTCTTGTGAAAGAGGAAATCCCTGCTGCAGAAATTCACCAGACTTCAGCGTGCTTATGGAAGTGTGTGCATGGGTACGAGCAGTGTTCGAAGGTGGGTGACACATTTTAAATATGGGAGCACCAACATCGAAGATGAACCTCGGAGTGGTCGTCCTCGAACAGTCTCAACTGAACGCAACAAGGAAAGAGTGGATGAGATCATTCAAGATGACAGGCGTGTGACTGTGGACACAATAGGCCGAAAACTTGGAATAGGGCACAGTGCAGTACAGGAGATGATTGGAAGCTTGGGCTATAGGAATGTTTGTGCTCGTTGGGTCCCGCGGTTATTGACCAAGGACCACAGAGGTCAGCGAAAAGCCATCACCTCAGAACTGCTGCAGAGATATTGACATGAAGGCGATGTTTTTTGCTCTGTATTGTGACAGGTGACGAAAGCTGGTTTCACCATTTCGAGCATGAACCGAAACGGCAGAGTATGGAATGGCACCATTTGCATTCTCCATCAAAAAAGAAGGCAAAGACAGTGCCATCAGCTGCGAAGGTGATGGGCACAGTCTTCTGGGATGCAGAGGGGTTTATTCTGGCCGAATTCCTGAAACCTGGGCAAACCATCAATGCTGCTTGTTATGTCCAGACGCTGCACAAGCTCCGTTGAGCATTGCACGATAAACGTCCGGGATGAAACATCATCATACTGCATGACAACGCTCACACCCATGCCGTTCGCCTCACATTGGAAGCAATTGCAAAGATGGGGTGGGAAGTTCTTCCACACCCCTCCTATAGCCCTCATCTGGCACCCTCCAACTACCATCTTTTCGGATTTGTGAAGGATCAGCTGTGTGGACAACGTTTTGAGACAAGGGAGGTAATTCAGAAAGCAGTGCGTCAGTGTCTTCAGATGGCTGGAATGGAATTCTACAGACGGGGAATTTTCAAACTCCCAGAACGCTGGGAGAAATGTGTACAAAGAAGTGATGATTATGTGGAAAAATAAAGAAAGGTCTGTAGATTGAGGTAAGGTATTTGGTTTGTCAATAATAATGCATGTTACTTTACAAAAAATTGTTGCTCATGACTTTCAGTACGACCCTCGTATGTACTCACCCACATTCCAGTTTCATGCGTGGTGCAACATTCAGGAACAGTCTCACATCTCTTATGATGTCTTCACTGTTCCCATTATACACAGCTTTGCAGAGTTCTGGTGGTGACAGTGATCTGTCATTCTCCACAACTCGCCATGTCAACGGGTCTGTGCGCTTGCTAGAACAAAACAATGATGTTGTTGAGTGCGAATTCTATACTTAAACTGGTAAAATTATGCAACATATAAATTGTACACATTGCAGTTTAATAAGTAATGTTGGTATTTGGTATCTATATTTACCATCAAAATCAATTATGCATGTGATATCCCAAATTTAATTTTATTGGCTCTTCACCTGACATGCTTCATTTGAATATCTTCAGGGTTTTCCATTATAATGTTTTTTAACCTAAGGTTTCTAATTGTTTACTAATCGCTACTAACTGTTATTAATTTTTTTTTTATTGGCGCTACAGCCCTCATTTGGGCCTAGGCCTACCTCCATGAAACTCTCCGTTTCACTTCAGTTTACTAGATCTTATACATATGGTAGGACTCCTTGGGCGGGTGATCAGCTCATCACAAGGCCTCTACCTGTACACAAACACAGAAAAACGCACACAAACATCCATGCCCTGAGTAGGATTCGAACCCATGATCCCAGCTTCCGAGCGAGCAAAGACAGTGCATGCCTTAGACTGCTCGTCTACTGTGACCGGCTGTTACTAATTACCTCACAAAAAATCTTTGCTGATGATTCTGTATGCTTACTACTTGTTTAAAATACCATTACAAAACCTCAGTATTTTCACTGAATTAATCCTGATGGAAATATAGTATTCTTTCTCTTTATGCCAGATTGCCTTTGTGCCTGGGTTCATTTTATAATTTTCTTCCATCCTTCATTTTTATTGCTCTTCCAAAGGATATTTTAACATTTTAAAGCCCAGTGGGTCTATATGTATCATCTGCAAGGTATAAACTGAATTTTTATATTTTATTTAAAAGACAGTCTTTAAAAGGGTAATATGGACTCTGAAGTAATTTTAGGTGCAAATGGCCATTTGAAGCAACAGATGAAAGAAAATACTTAGTTCACACTCTGGGAGCCTCTGCCAGGGAAAAAGTACTGGTATTTGGTATTTAATGGGACCAAATGTCACTATTTAATGCAATGTTTATCAAACTGTGGGCTGTGATGTACTCTAAGGGAGGTCACCAAATTCTCAAGAATTATTTAAAATGCAGTTATATCCATGTACAGCTTTGGCAAGTAAGTAAGATATAATGAGGTCAGTTCTGGAAAATGCAGCTGCACCCAATGAAACATTCTGAAATTGTCTTCATGAATATACGGGAATATTTTACAGCTTACTGCAAGAGCAGATAGGTTGTACAGCCACCATCATACAGTCTGACAGAGACCACCAACAATGGGCAGAACTGTAGCTTTCACTGACTAGCAGAGATGTGGCTGCATAATTATATGTACACATATAATTTTAGGGGTATACTCGTACAGTATACAGTTTACTATTTCAGGGGTTGTAGTAAGACAAAGTCTGAGGACCCTTGAAGTAAAGCTACTGTATTCATGTATTCAGGTTTTGAGTTCTAAGCTTGGCTCAGAGACAGACTGTCTTGACTGAGATTTTCTGTTACTTTCCTAATCCCCAAGACAAATTTTGTGCATAGCACCTTACGAATAAACATGCCACTAGAACTTCCTTTTGCATAAAGATTACTGTCTTCTGGAATGTAATGTAGTATAGTTAAGTGTAACTTTGCTGATGTTTTGGAGGAATGTGTTGCTTCCACCCGTAGGCGAAGGGAGAATGCTAATTTGAAAAGACAGCAAAAATCTACCAGGTACATGACATCACATCCGGGATAAGAGTAATCTTCCCAGTGACTGCTGTGAGAGCCTCAGATCTCACTTTCCTTTCATATTGTCACGTGTTGGGTATGTCATGCGACAAATAACTTCACGTGGGTCTTGGATTCAGCGAATCTTTATTGGACATTCACCCTTACACACCGTACAATTGTTATCATCTTAATTGTATTCTGCGGCGGCTGTCTTCCAACTGTCTTGTTTGTCGACTAGGTTCAAACTGTGCTCTATGAAGGCTAGATCTCAACTGTAGTCCTGTAGCTCTGTCGCTCTCGACTAATGTAGGTGTCTTGCGGACTGGATAGACAAAACTCGTTACCAGTGTATAAAGAGTGTTCTTGAAGCAACGGATTGCCGAACACGTGAGATCGAACCTTGGCGAATGGTGTTTCGTATTCGGTCCGCAGAACACCTACATAAACTGAGAGCGACAGAGTGGGGTTGAATACCTCCACCGTGACCCTGCGAGTTGTAGGAGGCGACGAAAAGGGAAGTCTCGAATCTGAGTCAGTAAAATATGGTCGCGAGTTCCAAGGGATTTGGCCCCGAGAAAGATTGTGCTGTCAAGGGCCTGCGGCATATACAAAAGACAGACTCGTCCTCTCATCAGAGAGGGCGCCCCACAGAAACAAGACCATAACCATCAGATGGTAATAATTAATATCTGGTCATGAGCCCCAGATGGGGCTCGACACCAAGACTTACTGACTGACTGACTGACTGACTGTCAGTCGCAATGTGACTTTGACTACAACACCACAGAGCTAATTAGCCTTCATACAACACAGTTGGAACCTAGTCGAGACGTCGCAGAAGTCACGTGATACAACAAGCGATAATAATTGCATGGTGTATAAGTGTGAGAATCCAAAAAAGAGTCGCTAAATCCAAGACCCATGTGAAGTTATTTGTCGCATGATACACCCAACACGTGACAATATCATTTTGCACAGTTACAGTGACTGCTCAAGGATAAAAGGGATTAAAAGCTATGCCAGAGGTTGCAAGAAGTACAAATGCTTCATATCTAAGGTTTACATAACAGCTGCAGTAATTATTTTATCATAATACATGTTGAAAAGAAAATTGGTTGGCACATCTCATGCATTCTTTGCGCAAAGTTCACAAAATAAATATATAATGGAGAAATCCTATCTATCTGTACATTTAATTGGTGAATCTGAGGAGTTCCAGAAAGATTTGGTTATTAGGGGCTGGAGGGTTGGCATTAAAATTTGTGAAATAATTTAATTTTTATTTCACATTGGCTCAACATACCTTATATTAAACTGGCACCACACTTCGTAAACTTTCTAAAAAAGAAAAGGCTCTCCAAACAAAAAGTGGTAAAAATCTCTTTAAAGCCTACAAATTTTATTTACAATTTTTTTAAATGATGCACATTGAATGAATACAAGGAAAATCAATTGCTCCCTTTTATGTAGCATGTTATTTGAGGTGTATTTTTTGGATCAGTAACTTTATATCAGCAATAAATGAATATAAGTCAGTGAGGTATGCAAAGTTATAATTATAGCCATGTTCAAGTGCATACTGTGTGCACTTCTATGACTCAATAATTAAGACTGCATTCATCTAACATGCTAAAGATGATACAGTCTCTTCTGTTCTTCCTTAACAATGAGACAGTCTGGCTATGACACAAGGTACATGTCTTCATATCTAAACCATGGACAATGTCTGAAGAAAACACTACCATGACAGTAAGACACTAACCAACAGACATTGTAACTCTTTTATGAAGAGTGCATACAGTTTATTAAGTTATAAAATAATTATGAATGTATCTTAACATTTTTCCTAGCCAGGACTTTTACACACTTTGGACATCAACCACCAGCCTAGATCAGTTAGGAACAGTATCTAGTATAATTTCTGCAATAGGGGCATGCAGAGGGTAGATTATGATACCTCCAATGATAGTTAACATGGCAACAAGGGTCAACAGGAGGTACCTACATCTTAACCTGGGTTCTATGCCATATTGCCAAAGTCTCTGGCAGAAATGAAGGATTTAAACTGTGAGAAAAAAAGAAAAATCAGCTGGGATCAAACTCAGAACCTTCTGTATGACAGCCCAGTGTCTTATGCAAAGACCATTAAGTCTCCTGAATATTAATATTACAGACTCAAACTGAATAACTTTCCTGAAAGCTGGTATAGTATCATGCCACTGGAGATTTCCGTATCTTGGTACTAACTCAACGAGACGTGAACTTGCAAGATGTCTTTCTTATTATATCTGTTATACTGCTCTCAACATGCACCATAACATAATTATTTGGGGGAGATGGAAATGAAAATGGAAACTTCAAGGGAAGAGACTGGGTGGGAAACCTAGGTAAGGTTTGGATAATATGAAAATTAATCTTCATAACAAGGAAAGTAGGCTAACAACAAGGGACTGATGAAAGAAGTCTTCTGGGATGTGGCACCATGTAGATATTGTGTTAACTGACGTTTCGGAGGAATGTATCCCCTCCATCTTCAGGGTAGAAGACAAGATGGAGGCGATATATTCCTCCAAAATGTCAGTTAACACAATATCTACATGGCGTCACATCCAAGAAGACTGCTTTCATCATAGTCTCTGTCATGAAAACCTCAAATCTTACAACAAGGGAACTGCTGGAAGCGGGGTTTTCTGCAGTTGAAACCAAAGTTATATGAAGAGGGCAACCCGAGTGTTGGAGGGAGGTGAGTGGCACACTGTGAGACTATGGATGAACAGATTCTGCTGAAAAACTAAATAGATGTACAATGATGATATTAATATTTTAGAACCATTCATTTCATCATGACAATAATGAATGTTAAATATTGTATGTTTGTTTACATTCCTGCGTTTATTAAAAAAATTGTGAATTCCATATAGTGTAAAATATAGATTTAAGAAGTCTTGCATTTAATGAATATTTTTCTCATCCTAGCCAAATCCTTATATAAACAATGCATTACTTTCCTCCATTCAGTGAATTTTTAGTACACAGAGGCCCACATTGCGTTTGGCACACATGTATCGGCTCTCACTTCTTCTCTCTCCAGTTGTGTTGTCTGAACACACATGACAGTGCCTGTTAGGATACTTTTTCTTTGGTGTTGGTGGTACAGGAGATGGAAAATGTCGTTCTGTAAGCCTGAGAGGTTGGTCACCATCTGAAGCAATCTGAAGAAGTGATCTGAAGGACGCCCTCTTTTACTTGTTTGTCTGCGGCAAGGGTATCCAAAATACAGCCCGCGGGCCACATGCGGCCCGCGATGTGATTTTAACCGGCCCGCGAAAGAATTGTGCAGAAATGCGCCAATTGAACTAATTTTCCAATGAGTACTGTTAAAGAAATGCTTGTTCATAGATTTCAAATTCATTAATTAGGATTGTGTTTAAAATATATTGATCCATATTATGTTAATATTAATATTATTCACAACCACTTTTATCAGATACCGAGTGGCTTTGGAAATTAGCATTTTTCGTTGATCTGGTGAACCATATGAACAATTTGGATTTAAAGTTGCAGGGTGAAAATAACTTAGTCTGTGATTTATTTGCACTTATCAAGGCATTCAGAGCAAAGTTGATACTTCTGGAAAGCCAAGTGAAAAATTGTAACTTTGTTCATATGCTATACTGTGCAGAGCTGCATTAAAAGGGTGAAGCAGAATTTCCTTCCTCGTTTGCAAATTTAGTCATTTCAGATTTGAAAGAACAATTTCGTAAGCGATTTGCTGATTTGGATGCCAGTGCTTAGGAAATTAAATTGTTTCAAAATCCGTTTGACTGTGATGCTGCAGATGTCCCAAGTCAAATTCAAATGGAAATTATTGAAGTTCAGGAAAATTATCACATTAAAGACAAATACAAGGAAGGAAATTTGATCAGATTTTATAAATTTCTTAACTTTTAGCAATTTCCAAATTTAAAGAAATTTGCTTGTAACTTTATCTCCATTTTTGGGATGACATATCTGTGTGAACCACTTTTTCCCAGATGAAGTACATCAAGTCGAAATACAGGGCAAATTTATCCGATGAACATTTTAAGTCGCTACTTGTGATTAGCGTTTCAAAATTTGAACCTCAATTTAATCAGATTTTAAGAACGCAAAAAGAGTTCCATCATTCACATTAATTGTTTTATTATAATTTGTGATGAAAATATGAGCATTTGCTGCTACTGTCTGTTGTCATTAATATACGATAATTTATTCCCACGTACTTTGTATTTAGTTTATGAAATTCTGTGCTTTCAATAAAAATATATATCTGGAGTTATTAATTTCTCATTTTATCCGGCCTGTTGAAAGTGCTGAGTTACCTAATGTGGCCCGCATTTCGAAAAGTTTGGAGACCCCTGGTCTAGGGATATGGTAGTTTAGTTTCATTGCGCTCCAACAGATGTCACGGGGAAGTTGATATGGACAGTATCTACCGGTGTGTACTGTGCTCTGAAGGGTGTTTGACCAACTACTTTATAATGAACACTATGAATCATCGATCACGTAGAGTCGATAAATATCATTGAACAAATCAATCGAAATGAAAGTATCTGTCCGTCTTTTCTGTCTCCATGTGGAGTATAAAACTGTCGACAGTATATAAATGTCGCCAACCAATTCTGTTACAAACCAAATGGGATTATCGGTTCGACTTTTTCATGCTAAAAAAATAAAACCTACAACCTAGCTGGTTCAGTTCTATTTTCGTTTTTATCGTGTCAGATGTTACAATATAACTTATTTTGATAACGATCGATGAAATTGGATTAAAATTGCCAGCAAATACTTCGCCAAAATGTAACAATCGACATAACAAATTAAAAATTTATTTCAGCTGTAGTCAGAATGTGAAAAATTCGAGTTCATGGAAGACTAGTAATGTATACTTCATGTTTCTGTTATTGATATAACACTTCAAAATAACAGTCCGTGTAAGATATTAATTTCCTGCCTATCCTGTACCACTCTGCAATTGGCTGACAACTGCAGAACTAGTGAACAGTGAGTATCCATCTGAAATCTATGAGCGATTGACGTTATTCTAATTACTGCGTTAACAATCCAATTAATACACCCCACTAAATAACTGCTTCATATGCTCATGCATTAACCAACATTCATCTGCAGCTATAAAAATGATTTTCAGTCTTTACTTATCTGTGTAATTGAAAGTCTATCATTCCATGGATTTAAACTAAATTTCACTTTGGCAGTTCAACGACAGAATTTTCACGCTGAATTACATTTGGTTCATTACATTCCAGCAGGGCTTCTACTCTACATGAAATTAAAATCAACTTAGTAAAAAATTTTTAGTTTGCGAAAAATGTGCGAATGCCTGCATATACAGAACAACCTAATCAGTACTGTCCTTGATTAAATTTGGTACTGAGGAGAGAATTTGATTATTGGTATATTACAACAATTAAATGGCGTATAATTATGCTGTGATAAGAATTAAGATTTAATCACTGGCTGGGCACATCTAAGCAGAGTTACTGCATTGTGCTGTTTACCATGATCTGTAAGAAAACTAAAAGGCCTAACATGTTTTTAAATTTATATCATTACACTTCATTTACATTGTCTCATCTCCTGTTATAAAACATGAAGCACAATACACATTATTTTATTCATTTTCTGCAATTTATAATTTTCCATTCTTCTTCAGCCATTGTGATCTGGGCTCTGTGGCCTGCTCCAATTCAGAATTCATTATGAAAATGTGGATCTTTTAGATATTTGGTATGACGCCTTGGATGGAGGACTGAACCATCACAAGGCCTCTACTTATGAAAACAGTACCATATAAAAAAGGACACCTGTCTCCACCATCCATGATCCCCTACATGGTTCACCATTTATAAATCTTTTGACCATTCTCTGAAAGAATGTGAACAGGATGTCTGATTCCATTTTATACTGTTACTTTTTGTACCTGTTGCTATAACAAGCAGGTTCCTTTCCAACTCTACATTTTCCTTAGTGTCTGGTCAAAACACGTTCCATGTGTATCTAGCCATTGCTGCAAGGCATTTACTGTTCAAGGACATCAGAAGCAGGTAGGTGGGTCCCCCTTCCACAAATAAATTGCCCATGTATGAATGTCCTGTACAACTCCTTACTGCGGAAGAGATTTTCTCTTAGCCACTGTGTCCAGACCAGTTCTGGGTGGGTAGATTCTGCTAGCACATGAAAATGGCAACTGAACTTCATGTAGAGCCAAGGTATAGAATGTGCATAGCTCTACATCCATTCCCCCTACACACATCACCTCTATGGTCTCCATTTCTGTACATGCAGTACAGTGTTACATGACTGAGTTTATGCCCTCAAATTTAGAATACTTCCAAAACTAACTCCAACAAACAGTATGTAGTAGTAGAAACATCATTTGAAGGGGAAATGAGGTAAATAATAATTTAATTCCCTCACATCCTAAAATTTTGGATTTGTTTCTGTATTGAAAAAAAAACTATTCTTTTTTTGTCAATACTACATACTGACATCATTAATATTTAAATAAATTTATTAATGACAATATTTAAATGATACCTAAAAGATTTAATGGCTACAGTTTGTAGAAGTTGCAGGGATATTCCTCTTGACTTTTCATCTCCATGTAGGTGAGTCCTAGTCAAGAAGCCAGTCAAGAAATTCTCTGTTTTGCGGAACAAGGCACTTCATTACTGTGTTCACAAGAGCCCACCAGTGGACCCTATCCTGAGCCTGATAAATCCAGTCCACAATCTCACACAGTATTTTCATAACATTCCTTCTAATTTTGTCTTCTCATCTATGCCTGGTTCTCTCAAGTGATTTGCTTCCTTCAGGGTTTCCAAACATAATTTTGTATGCATTTCTCATATTTTCCAAGCATGAGACAATATGCTTATCATACTCTCCTTTATTTGCTTATCCTAACAATTATTAATTTTCTTGGCATGTAATTCCTTTATCCTCCTGTAACTTTCTCTTGAGTCTAGGAATGATCCTCAGCTTTCACATACCCTAAATATATCTTCCCTTTTCAGGCTGAAGGAATTGCCAAAAATATCACATGTCAAAATGCAGTTTCACATGGAGTTTTCCATGCCAAATAGCATTCATTAGATGTACAGTGACCTCTTGTCCTCCCATAATAAAAATTAACTGTTGATTGTTCATACTTACTCTTTGACAGGAATCATGCCAACAGCTGTAAATGAGAACAAAATATGAATTATTGTTTATTTCAACTTGGAGCTACCTGGATATCAGATTAAATCTCATGGAGCCAACGTGCAGAACTAAAGGCTCTTTATAAGCTAGGTCATATTTTAATTCACAGAGAACTCTAATTCAAAGGACCTTTGTGCAAATCAGCGTACAGTGTGTTGTAATGCACGAATTTGGTACTGCCAGAATATAAATTTTGGCAGTATTATTTTAAATTAGCTCATATGTGTTTAAAACTTTATTTTCCTTGAGTTCATGACATCTTTAAACATGTATGAAGTGTAATTTTTAAAATGTGTTTATTGTACACAGCAAACTAGTCACACAGAACTATTTTCCATAATCAATATGGAAGAAGAAAGCAGTCTTCTGGGATTTGGCACTGGGTATATGTGGTGTTAACCGATGTTTCGGAGGAATGTATCGCCTCCATCTTCATGCTCTCACATAGCTGTGTATATTTCCAACACCAGTCTGCTTTTACCGGTTCTCACGGTCTCTTCGCTTTTTTCCTTCTACCCTGAAGATGGAGGCGATAAGTTCCTCCGAAACGTCGGTTAACACCACATATACACAGTGCCAATTCCCAGAAGACTGCTTTCTTCATAGTCACCGCCGTGAAAGCCTCAAATCTTACAATATGGAAGAAGTTTATCTCAATGAAGAATTCTGTAATATTGGCTACTGATAAGCAGATGTATAGAGAAGGGTATATTTCTAATAAGTATAAACCCTAATCATTAATGTATCTCGATAATAATATATATGGACACGTCCTGTATCATTGTATTTTGATCTACAGGGCAAAATAAAAAAGAATGAATGAAAGAGAAGAGGAATGTATAAGAACAACGAAAGATAATATCTAAAACCCAAATATGAGACAAAATCTCAAAGTGGAAAAACATATATGAAGGGTTCATGAAGTTATGGATGAAATGGGATGGACATGTGTTACACAATGTTGGACAACTTGATTGCCTGAAAGTTTAAAAAATGAAAATGTTGAACAAATAACAAAGGCAGACACCAAGAATAAGATGGAGAGACCAAATAAGGATTATAGAATCATGAATGGAGATGTAAGAGGAGTGCATATAGAGTATAGAGGAAAACTGAGAAGGACTTCTCAGTGGACAACCCAACTTTGTGAAGATGATATCAGCTGTTGATTTTTTTTAATGTCCTAACAATGCAACTAGTCCAGGGCTAACGAGCATTTTTATTCTCACTTAAACTACTGCTACTATAACGAAACTCTGAGATTATGCCCACTGGTGTGTCCCAGCATCTGGTGTCTTGAGCACATTGTTGTTGCACTTGTATCACCATTTACACTAACGCACACTTGCACTACACTAGTTCAAACAGCTTGAGTCTCTTGAGCCTTCTCGCTGTCCTCTCATCAAGAAGCTGTATCACTTCGACGTTCCTGTGGTTGTGAAGTCGATCTTTGTGCTTCTTGGCTATCCTTTTAATTTCGGCAGTGACCATCCTAATGCCAAGATCCCTGTGCATGTCATGATTACGGGCATACCAAGGAGCATTTACTATTCCCCTCAGCTGTTGATGATTAGAGATTTTGAAATGGAAAGGATCATGAAATATAAGGGTGCATATTTAAATATGGTGATATACTTCAAACATATACATTATTATAATTGTTCCTGCAAGCTCATACAGTTATGTCAGCATACATACAAACAAACTGAGTAATATATGTGTATGTATGTGTATATACACATGCCCGTGCATGTGGGTGCATGTACTAACACATGCACACATTCTGATAAAATAATTTTCAGACACATATATTTCAAGTTACACAAAATGTTCAAAATGGCCATGAAACCGTAGTGTGAAACATAGTTAGAATGACAGAGACAAAATTAAAATAGAAGCAGCAGTAATGAGAACTTCATATAAATACTGGTACATGAGAAACTTAAACTCAGAAATATAGTTGATAATATTGCTGCATACAGAAACAAATAGAATGATCGTGTGGATTGGAAGTATGATGATATATGGCTGATGATAGCATGAATTCATAAACCTACAGGATGAAAAGTAGAGGAAGATCAAGGAGTGTTGAGTCTAGTACAGGCATTAAGTTGTCTGGTGCATGAAAACAGTAACTTTACATTCATGTATTAGATTGATAACTAGAAATAAATTTATTATGTGAGCAGAAAGAAATGATTTCACACCACCATTTTCCCAAATTCCAGTTTACATAAGTTACGTTAGTTGTTACTCACTTCTGACTCTGAGTTCGAGGTGATTCTGATTCTTTATGTATGACAACACCTCCCGGTGGACAGCATCCACTACTGAATATCCATTTATCCTCATGATCTGATCGCCAATCTATAGAACAAACATGTGTATACTGAAAGTTGATGCAGAATACTGAAGTTCAATCCACAATACAACGAATTTCAATATAGAATATGTTGAAGTTGACAGTGCAACAGTGAAGTTCAGTATGTAGCTTAATGGAGTTAGCTGTGAAACAATGAAGCTCAATAATGTTGTATTTTAGCGTCCTGTTGCACTGATTCTTGTCCATGATATATACGTATTGACCGTCTTCTTGTGCACACAATCTCATATGTCACTTCACTACATGTTTTGGCATCACTGTGCCACCCTCAGGTGTGTTATTTACGTTAAACTATTGTACTGCTCACCATCATGTGTCATTTATAAAATGATGGCGAGCAGTGCAATAGTTTAATGTAAATAACACACTTGATGATGGCACAGTGATGCTGAAACATGTAGTGAAGTGACATATGAGATTGTGTGCACATGAAGACGGTCAGTACTACATATCATGGCCAATGAAGCTTAGTTTACAGCACACTGAAGTCAACTATGTAATGACAGTCTTCAGCATATAGCCGAATTCCATTATGCAATTACAATACAAATAATTTATTAGAGTACTGGAATCAGAGTGATTCTGTGTATCTGATAGGTCTGTCATTTTATATTGCTTGGGTAAGAGGCTGGAAACTATGCCAGTAGTTATAAATGTTTTATTCCTGAACACCACACATATAAAGCATCTATTAAATAACCAGTATAGCTCTTTTATTGCAACTAACCTTCAGTCCCTGACAATGTGCCTCTGATCCTTGTTCCACTGCAGAAACAAAGAATCCAGTGCCATGCTCTCTACCACCGCGAACTGAGAATCCAAAGTTCGGTGGACCATGATGATTCCCTGTCAGTCGTCGGTGAAGGAGTATGATTCGTGTTCTGCCTTGCCCATTGCCCCCTCCACTGCTGTCAGATGTGCAGACAGATGATGGGGCTGAATAATTTGGGATTAAGGAGCAGTACTCCATCTGCTGATGAGGAGGAACCACCATTCTGTGGAGTAAAACACACCATCAGGTAAGCCAACAATTTTACCACGTACTCGTTGTTTCTATCTGTTCCTGGATAACTTAATGAACACACGGACCATTTTAAAAATGGCTGTAGGTTTCACCCATTGAATACCAGCTCGGTCTCCAGGGGAAAGAAGGGTGGAGCAAAAAACTGGCCAGTTACTTCCATCTATCGTCTCTGCATGAGAATGGAGTTTTACTTTCACATCTCCTACATATCGTCCTGGCAAGCTGTTTAAGTATTGAGACAAATTTATTTTAAACTGTATTTGTGGCATTTCACCCTGCGTAGTCATTTTAAATGTAATATATATATATATTTTTTTTTTGAATGTGCAACGTGTACAACGAAAATACTTTAGGAGAACTGAATATATCACAGTCGCTCAAAATATTGTGGTATGTAGACCCACTGCTAGGCAGCGACCGCTAAACAAACAACTAGACAACAGCCGTTACTAGGCAGCGACCCGTCAAGACCAACAGAGGAACGGCGTTTTCTGTGCTGTCTGTGCTGAGATGTTATAAGCAGGACAGTTAGTTAGTGAGAGATGACTCGAGTAATTTGGTTGGTGAGTGAGTTAAGAGGACAGCTGAGGCTGTCACTGTGAGCTGTTGCTGTGGGAAGATGGTAGCTGAGGCCGGGGATAATTCGGGAACCCACATGAAGGGGAACGTCTGCCGTTGGAAGCCGCTGCTGAGCAACGGCTAGTGAAGATGTGACTGTGGATACTAGTGTGTGTGTGTAATAGTGAATTGTAAAATGTAGTCATTCACTGTATAAAAGAATCCAGTTACCAATTCAAACCCCGTCTATAGTTACGCTCAATCACGTGATAATATTTTGGTATAGTAATGATAACTATGCGTCATTTGTACTTAACACGTGAAAGCTGAACTGTGACATGTCACAGACTTTGTATGTAATAACATTCTGCATCTGAATTTGTTGCACTACAAGAAGTGGGGAATTATATAACAATGCAGAAGTGCCTTGGGTTCGAGTTAGGACTTATCATCATATTATTTATGTCCTGAACCGTTCCAAATAAATAATGATCCTTTTTAGATGACAAATAAATTGTATTCTTTGTAAACTTACAAAGACTGAATCCTTGGAACCTGAAAGTGTAACATGTCGACAGGGTGTGACCTTAAAAGGAATCAAATAAATGGAAAATGGGGAACGTTACACAAGGAAAGCCTCAAATCTTACAAGGAATGTCTTGATCTGTGCAGAGGCTACAATGGGTTGGATATTCATTCATTCATTTGTAATCTGTCAAGACGACAGGTCCACAGTCTCTTCCAAAACAGTTCCTCCACTTGATCCGATCTAGAGCTTTCTCCTTCAAATGAAAATATCCTCTTCTGTCCCCAAGGTCATCCAGCAGCATCTTACGTCTTCTTCTTCGTCTTCTGGTCACTTCTATCCGCCCCTCTATCTTTTCTTCGATAACTTCTTTTAGAAGGCCGTTACCGCGTAAGATACAGATATATACATATACCAAAAGGTAGGATGGGGGCGACAATGCATACATACTGAATTTTGATGAGGAAACATCTGGAAAGTGGATGCCTTTAAGACCAAGTAGGAGATAGTAAGTAAAGGTAACGTGGAGTTATTTCGGGGTTTAATTAATTAAGCACCACGCAGTGAAGACATATAGGAGAAATAGAGGTATAGCTCCTCCATTCCTAACCCCGGCAATAGATGGATGTGAGTGGTCAGCTCCACGCCCTGCTGCTCTAGTAGGAAGCAGGACAAAACAAGAACAACAAAATAACAAACTCCGTGGTTTTAGTCCGCAAACGAACTATACAGACCGAGCGACCGCCGCTTGTCGGCGAAGTTAGTGCCAACTTTAGCGGTGTCGCGTGGTCAGCGCAACGAATCCCCACGGCCGTTAATTTCGGTTTTATAGACCAGAGCCGCTATTTCTTTGAAATAGCTCCTCAATTATCCTCACGAGGCTGAGCGGACCCCGTTCCAGACCCACTACTTCTCAGAAAATCTGGTAGCGCCGGGAATCGAAACCGGGACCTCTGGATCTGTAGCCAGGAACTCTGACCACCAGACCACAGAGGCGGTCAGCAGAAGGACTACATTCAAATATATATTAGGGAGGTGGGCTGCGAGGATAAGAGATGGATGGAAGTGGTTCACCTTTATGTCCATTGGCGGGCATTGATATTAGCGTACTGGACTTTTGGTTTGCAAGTTATCCACAGCCATACCACCAAAATGGAGTGTCCCATATTGTGAAACTGAAAATCTGGCAACAACACATTGAATGACATGCCACATTCCAAATAATCAGAGTGTGACACTCATTCCAAAATGTCGAGGACAGCCGTTACTTGCATCATATATTACAAGGTCTTATCCTTATTCTTTTTGTAAAACAATTCAAATTTTCTGACTCGCAGCATTCTCCTTGCATGTTTGTTTTTTGAAAGATAGATAGATACGAAACTGCTATTGTTGAACAGTCACAAATAGATAGACGGAACGATATTTTTCGTTATTTAAACTATATGGAAACCTAGAGATCACAGGAGCCAATATATCTAAGTACAGTGTGTAAAGCGTTAATATAAGTCCTTTTTTGTACAATCCTAATATGTTGACGAACAGTCAGCTGTGTCAAGTGTGAAGACACAAAGAGAAATGTTTCAAATAAGGAGCAATGAATAGCCTTTATAATAACAAACATAATGAAACAATAGGCGGCGGCAGGCGGCCAACACAAATGGCCGTGACGAAGAAAACACTATTGTGACACTCGTATGCGACACGAATTGAAAAGTGAAATGTTTTTAAATCCTGAAGCATGGAAACATGCGATTTTTTTTGTTCAACACAATCAAATGTACGTAATCATCGTGGAAATAAAAGGATTTCGATAAATGGTTCATGAACGGCATCTATAGTAATATAACTAAACATATCTACTCTGGCTACTAGACCCTGAAGTTGGGCGACAATTAATGAAGCGAATCTGCTCTTTATTTCTTTATCTCGGAATATCGTTAGTTCACAGAGGAGCAGGATCAAGAAAAGAAATCTTGTAAATTTTTCGTTGCAGGCTCAGAAATGTCATTCAATGTTAGAGATGGACGGTTTTTAAATTCCAGTTCTCTTCAATAATTTATTTGTACCCATACACTGAACATGTGGCAGGTAAACAATTTATGTGTTTATAAATTTTCTTCCTTACAAAAGAAACTTGAATATTTTTGACTTGGTTCATCCTGGTCCGTCACGCTAGTAACAGTATAAAAGATTATTAACGCTGTCCAGTGTGATTCATAAATTTTGTGTTTTTTAATCTTTCATCCTTTACACGTTTCGGTCGGAGCGACCATCTTCAGAAGGACAATATCAATGCATACGGAATCTTTTATACTTGAATAAGTCAGTTAAAATTTAAATTTTGGGGTGCCGGAGTTTGAATCCCTGATCTTGCATTTCAGCATCCTACTCTAATTAAATTCGTATGGTATAGAATAAATTTATTCTGCATTAGTACTTTAGTTCTCAAAGTCCTACTGCAACCTCAACTGATTACTCCTCGTGTAAATTTATTTCTATTGTACTGCCTTTCTTTCCCACCATACTTTCCCGATTCTCATATCCATACATTCATATTTTCAGTTTTCTGTCTTCATTCTCACTTCTTACTATTCTCTTCGTGGCTATTTCTGCATCGACATTCCGAAACCTCTTGTCCAAAATCCGGTGCTTCCAAATCTTTGTTCATTCACGTCCCAATATGGGGCTCCAATCTTCTTTACCACACATGGGACCAATTTCCTGTTTCCTAACCCCTATTTCGCACCATATAATTCCTCTCCTGGCGTCGCCTGTACGTGGTTCTATATATTCCACCTTCTCTAAGTTGCTCCTTAAACTTTTCCAGAGTATCAGGAAGCTTCTCTGTCTATCGCTCTCTCTCTCATTATACATGTTTCGTTTTACGTGAGCACATCCTTTCTTTATTTATATCCATACTTTTTTTGTTGTTATTTTTCCATTTTCCAACATATACCGAACTCCCATTCTTTCCAATTCCTGTTCAATTCTGTTCATCCAGTTATTTCCTCCAGCCTTTTTTCTGCTCTTTTGCGTCCTACAATGGATTTGTCTCATCTGTTTCCAGCAATCCTAATCGATATTTCATTGCCCTCTATACAATCGTAATACTTTTTTCTGCCTGTTTAGCATCCTGAATTTCTTCATACACCGCCATTTTTTTATATCACTGAGACCTCCGTTAGTCTTCTACAGAATAATTCATGCATTTCCCCTGCTTCACTCCATCCATCATCCAACCCCCAAATTTTAAGTAATATCATTATCCTTGTCTCTATTAGCGAAGTACATAATTGTTCCAATAGTCTGACCTCTGTATTGGCGCTCTGCTAAACATACGTGTACATTAATAGAATTCAATAATAGTTTCCCCCTAACTGATGCCTGTTTCCTTTCATTTTCCGATTTTCCTCTATTATCCAGGATTACACCTAGGTATTTAACTTTTTTGGTTATTTCTGTTCCCTCTGTTCTCAGTCTCCATTTTTCACTCTAATTTAATTTTCCTCCTTTCTTAAACTATGATACGCGTATGTTTGTTTTCTCTACAGTTATATTCCTTAGTGTGCAAAATTGCTGTTTACAATAAATTGCTCTTTGCAAGCCTATGCTAGTAGGCCGCGCCATAGCTCAAGAGGGTTAGTCGCTGGCTTTCCACCGCGGCTGCCCGGGTTCGATCCCGGGTCTGGTCAAGTGGGATTTGTGGTGGACAAAGTGGCGCTGGGGTAGGTTTTCTCTGAGTACTTAGGTTTCCCCTGCCAGTCTTCATTCTACCAATTGCTTCACAATCACCCTCACCTAACATCTGAGGCTGGTACAATAGACCAGAAGTGCCGCAGTGCAAGGGACTTAGTCCCACCCCACTAGCAAAAAAGAAGCCTATG